TATCCTCTTGCACACCTGTCTCCAGCCTCCCCCTTAGCAATCCCGGACACCACCAGGGAGCAGTTATCAGCAGTTATCAGGATGCTGAAGGCGAGCTCAAGTCTCCCTGCRTGCAGGGAATCAAAGGCTCCCGGGAAGGACCGCAGGAGCCGGAGGACCTGCTGCATCCTCCGCCGGGCAGGAGGGCACGAGGTGGCCTGGGCAGGGCCCGCGTTCCCGGGGCTGCTCCAACACGGCCCGTCCGCAGCATGGACTGAGGCTCAGGGCTTTAACACGGCTCGGCTCAAAGCTGCCCTGGGCGCTGCAGCCCCTACGGGCAACCTGCAGGAAAGCCCAATTTCTGCCCATGCTCAGAATGACAGACTCTACTGCTGAGAGATGAAAAATACCCCAAACCAAGCTCTTCATCCAAAGAAAATCTGAAGACCATGCCTGTCACTCCAATAGGTCTGCGTGGCGGGTGAAGCCCAGCACAGAGCTGCTGTCCAGTCCCACCATGATGCCCTTGCCCGCTCCTGCCAACAGTCTGGGTTTCCTCGCACTTTGATCTCAAAGACCTTGCTTTCATTTCTTATTTTAATTTTTCCCTCCGTTGTACTGTCTGTGTGCTCCGCTCAGCACAAAGTGCTCAGGACACGGCGGGAAGAGCAGCTGCAGAAATATTTGCCACCTTTTGTTTAAAATCCCCTGTGTGCTGCAGCTACTAAGCGGCTGCGCCCACTAAAGCCAGATGCGAGTGGACATAATAACTTAATCATAAGTAATTAAATAGCTGGTTCTGCTCCCCGAGCAACAGCTGTCAAGCAAAGCCAGCTGCTCACTGCARAAATGCGGATAATTCCTGCCCTGGACACGCAAACACCCCGAATCTGGGGGCGCCCGGGCCCCGTGGCCAGGCACTGCCCCATCTCCCAGGTTGTGCTGTGACTCTCCACCAGAAACATCGCTTCATCCTGTCTTTTTGTGCAATCCAGGCCCAAATCCGGCCCTGTGGATCTACAAGGAGCAGGAGAACATTACTTGGCCGGAGGAGAGAAGTGCTGCTCCTTGCAGGGTCAGTGACCAGGTGCCACGGGCTGCTCAGCATCCTCGGCACGGCCGGACAGCGGTCCCACTCCAAGGCCAGGCCCGCTGCGGTGGCCCTTCGCTCGCTAGCAAACACCCTTCATCACGCAGCGTCTCCTCTCACCCGCGGAACAGCACAGCTGGACCCAGGTCACAACCTGCACCGAATCCTTTGTTTCAGCCCCCCAAAATAAGCCTTTTATTTTAGCACCCAGCTCCATGCAGGAGCTGCAGTGCTGCTGCTGCCTCCTGCACCTGGAGGATTCCAGCCCTGCCTGCCCGGGATGCCCACGGGAGCAGCTGGGCAGAAACGGGCTAACGTTCGGTGTTTGATATCCTGAGCACCCCTGCAGGACCAAGGGCCTTCAGGGAAGCTGTTGCCTGGTACGTGGGCATGAGCAAAGCTTGAGGAGGTGGCTTTGAGCCTAATGGTCCTCCTGGGCATGGTGACAGCACGCGCGGTGGCCAGCATGGACTGGCAGAGCTGTGTGTGTCTGCAAGAGATGTCATACAGGAGATGAGTAATGAGGAACAGAGGCCAAAATTGCAGAGAGGATGGCCAAGGTGGCATGATGGAGAGCCGAGGTGGCATCCTGGAGAGCCAGGGTGGTGCGATGGAGAGCCAAGGTGGCACGATGGAGGCTGTCGTGGCCACCAGACCTCATCTCCAGGTGCCTGACGCCTTGTGTCAGGCTCTGTCGTGCCCAGATTGTGCCGCACGGCGCCCGCGCCAGCCCTTGCCTTGCGGGACATCCCAGCACATGTCCACCTGACCCATGCCCGGAGGGCAAGGGCAGGATGACGACAGCTCCGGGAGGAGACACCCCTTTCCTCGGGGCYGCGTGTGTTCACAGCAGGCGGGCAGCTCCCTCGTGCCGCCCGCGGCAGCCGCGTGCCAGGGGCTCAGCGCGGGCAGCACGTGGAGCGGCCTCTCTGCCGCGACGCCTCGTGCTGCCCGGCGCCAGGGCTGCCCCTGCGCGGGGAGGAGCGCGCGGCCGGGGGGACACTGCACGGGGTGCCCTGCACTGCACGTGGGTGCCACACACTGCACGTGAGTACCCCACACCGCACGTGGGTGCTCCGCACCACACACGGGTGCCCCGCACCGCACACGGGTGCCCTGCACTGCACGTGGGTGCCCTGCACCGCACGCGGCCTCCACCGGCCCTTCTGCCCCTGGGGCGACACGTGCGGGTGCCTGAGCCCTGCTCCGGCTCCTGCTCGGCTCCTGCCCRCACGCGGGACGAGCCCCTGCGCTCGGCTCCTCCAAGCAACCAGTGCGAGACGGATATATCAAAAGGCACCTATCTAAAGTGAGGCGCGCTCTCCATGTCCGTGTCCAGCCTCTGCACGTGAGCTGGCGTGGCGGGACGGGGCGCAGGGCCGTGCCCAGGGCCCCCGGGCACCCCGCGGCCCGGCCGGCCCGCTAGCGACGCGGCGGCGGCGGCCGGGGAGGTGGCAGCGCTGTACTCACCATATGGAGCCTCCATCTTAGCGTTTAGCTGGGTGCTTACATTGACCATGTCTCGCCGGCTCCCGCTATGGGGACTTGGGGTGAGAAGCCAAGGAAATGTAGCAATAATAATGAGAAAAATAATAATAATAAAAAAAAAAAAAAAGAACAAATGTCTGTCACTAAGGAAGTAGGTGAAGGCAGGAGGGAGTGCGGAGAGGCAGGGCAAGGAAACCTGCCTCTCCTGTTATCTTATTGATTCGCTTAATCAGGGCTAATGTGGGTGGAGATGTTAAATAGTAACCAAGCTCTTATGGAAACCAATCTGCAAGGTGCTGGTGCTGTAGCTATAGTAACTGCTGCCAAGCTAGAAACTCAAACACGGCTTTTCCCGTCCCGTTTTGGGGCTCCTCTTTGCAGCCGGTGCCAAGGCCAGGGCAGCCCCTGGGCCGGGGGTTGTTCCTCGCTCGGCTGCGGAGCGAACGGAGGGCGCGGGAAGTGGCCGCCTTTGCAGCAGCCAAGACGCAGCCCGTTTTATTGCCACCTTTGGCCAGCAGCGGGAAAACAAGGGCTGTGCCCGGCTGCCACACACGGGGCTGCGGCGCGAGGGCTGGATTCACCACATGGCTGTGGTGCCCATGGCCCGAGGGCTGCATGTGCGGCACGGACGGGGTGCCCCGTGCGCACCCCGGCTCTCGGTGATCCGGGACAGCCCCCAACGGGGCTCTGGCCATGGTCACCACGAGCCGCCCYGGCAGCGTCACCTTTACAGATGTCACATCGGTGCTGGCAGCTCCTCCCCGTTGCCCGCTCGCCAGCTGCCCCTTTGCTAGGGCAGGACRCGGAGGTTTCCCATCGCGCACGGCGGGCTTGGAGCTTCCCGCTGCAGCCAGCCCTGCTGCACCGCAGCCCTGCGGAGGCCAGGGTACATCCCAGGCCCCGGGCTGCTCTTCCTGCCACCAGGCACAGTGAGTCCCCCGGGGCTCCTAGAGCAGCCCGGCTCCTGCACACGCTGCCCAGGGGCACCACCAGAGCCATCCTGCAGCAGGGTTTTCCAAACTCAAAGCAAATCCCGAGGGAGGGCAGAGGGGAACAGGGAGGCAGCTGGAGCTGCCCGGTCCCCAGGGCTGCGGGAATGGGCAGGCTTGGCCTAAGCAGAGGGACCAGGGGGGTTGGAGCAGGGCAGGTGGTGAAACCCTCCGGGTGCCGGGAAGGTGGTGAATGGGGGGGATGCGGAGCTGGGGAGGTGGCAGTGGAGATGCTCCCATCCACGGCCAGGGCTGGGACAGGGGCTGTGGGGAATGCAGAGCAGGCTGCCCGCGGCGCTGCCRTTGGAGCTGCTCCGAACGGCTTTCAGCTCCCTCCCTGCTAACAGTATTGGGGAGCTGGCTGAGCCCCTCGCACGGTGCGGTGCTGAGCTCAGCCCGGCTTTGCCYGCAGAGCACCTCGTTGCAGGGGGAYGAGCTCCRAAGGCCCCTGGTCTCCCTTGCATCGCTGCGCTACGTTTCTCACACCCAGGCACCCTGCACGTATCCGAAGCCGAGCCCCTGTGACGGGTTTTGTGCAGGGAAGAGCCCCAGCACGGCCCGGTCCCACTGCATCTGGGCTTCTCTGTGTGAAACCCAGCGGGAACCGTTCCCTGCGGAGCGGCTCCGGGCCTCCCAGCGCTGCTGCCGGCCCCCACATGATGGAGCAATGTGCCCGGGCTTCTCCGCGGGGCCAGCACCCGCCAGTGCTGCACAGGGTGCCCCACGGCCGCCCCTCTGCTCCCGGAGCCGCCTGGAGCCGCCGTGGGGACGAGGGGCAGCGGTCGCACGGGCAGGGCCCATGGGTCCCTTTACCTGCCCCTCGGCAGGGCTTGGCGCTGGGAAGCGCAGCGGATGCTCCACCTTGCAAAGGTCTGTGTTGTGACGGGGCACAAGGACCAATGTGAACCTGGGGTCTGGGGATGTCTTTATTGGGGAGCTGGGAGCACGAGGCTGGAGGCAGCACCCTGGGGCACCCGGGACTCCTTGTCTCCATCTGCCACTCGCCCCGGCAGCCTCCGTGACAAGGAAGTTTTGGAGTTCATTTGCAGGAGCCTTGGCCTTGGAAAGCTGGAGCAAGACAGGGGCCGCCAGGCACCAGCCCTTGGGGACATTGCCCATCCCAGCGCCCATCCCACCTCCTGTCCTCCCTACGGGAAGCAGCCGGACGATGCAAGTGCTCCCTTGGGAGACACATGAGAAAGAGGAGACACGAAGCGGCAGCAGGGCCATGGTCCACACAGCACGAGGCGAAGCAGGCCGCCTAACCACGGGCTGTGMAGAGCCCACGCGGCCTAAGGCCACCCGCACAGCCAGGCTGGGACGGGAGGGAGAAATAAAGCAGCTCGGAGGCACTGGGGTTATAAATAACTGTGCTTTTATACAACCCTTGTGTGCCGGGGACTTCTCTCAGTGCTGCCCGCGGGCCCCGGCACTGCCACGGAGCGGTGGCCGCCCTAGAACCAGCTCACTTGGTTGGACTTGAGCCCCGTGAAGCACATGTTGTTGCTGCAGCCGCCGCCGTAGCTGGGCGGGCAGGCAGAGCACGGCCTGCCCACCTTGTAGGGCGCTTCTCCCATCCAGTTGCCCCTGGAGCAGGGAGGCAGGGCGCCGCTGAGCGGGGCGGCGCGCGCCGGGGTGCCCGGAGCGGCCAGCGCGGRCGCTCACTTACTTGACGGCGTAGTTGCACACGAGGAGCTCGGCGCGGCGCCACGTGCTGCCCCACACGCGCATGTTGGCGCAGGAGTGCAGCGCGCAGCCCAGGCGGCTGGAGGTCGCCCACACCATCTGCGGCGTGCGGGGAGGCGCCGGCGTGAGGCCGGGGCTGCAGCCCCGCGCGCCCCGGCGCAGCCTCCCTGCCCGCGGCCATCCCGCAGGCTCCCTGCCCGCCGGGCGGCTTCCCACCTCGCCTGGGCATGGGCTGCAGGGGCCGCGCTCACGGGGTGCCCGGGTGCTGCCGCGCGCTAAAAGCTGCCCTGTCACCACGGCAAGAGCGAGTGCCTTTAATTCCTTTTCCCTCACAACCTCTGCGGTGCTATGGGGGTAATAAGGGGAAAGCAATGGCAAAGCAAGGGGAAAAACGTCCCGGGCAAGCCAGCATGGGATGTTGCCCGTCGTTCCCGTGGYGCCGTGCCGCTGCCCCCGCGGCGCTCACCTGCGTGTAGTGGCTGCACACGGCGGCGCTGCACTTGGTGGGGCAGCGGGGCCGGCACTCCTCCGGCTGCGGGAAGGAGTAGTGCTGCTTCTCGCGGTGCCACGACTTCACCAGCTCCACCACGGAGCGGGGCCTGCGCGAGCCGCCGTTAGCCGGAGCGCCCCGGAGCGCCCCGGAGCGCCCCGGAGCGGCGGCCGCCCCCGCCTGCCGGCGCCACGTACCTGCCCGAGTGGATGGAGAGGTTCTGCCCCACGAACTTCATGAGCTGCGGCGGCCCGTGGTCCCAGAGGCAGCGCGCGGCCCAGGCCTGCGCCGCCCGCGCCAGCCGCTCGTCCCACACCTGCCACACGGAAAGGGCACGCGGCCGTTCGGCTGGTGGCTCCCAGCCAGCCCGGGGCAGAGCACGAGGCAGAGGAGCCGTCCCGGTGTCACAGGTTGGCCGTGCTCGTCACAGGGGTGACACTTCCCGAGCCCCYGCTCTGCTCCCGAGCACCCTGCCCTGGCACCCGCAGTGTCCCCACTGCAGCCCCGACCCCATGGGGCGCTGGCTGCACAGCTGTTTCCTTCCTACATTATTTAAGGCTCCCCCACCCATCCTGCCCGCTCGGGGATGAGCTGCAGCCGTGCCTGTGAGCGAGAGGGATAGCTGGGCCACTCTCCGGCAAGGCTGGAATTTAGGGCCAGCGGGATGTGGCGCGGGACACCCCAGGGCCAGGCTGCTCGTGCCGTGTGCTGGGCAGTGCTGCCTCTGCACCTGCATCCCGGCCATCCCGCTGCTCCCGTGCAGCTCTGCATTCCCGTCCCGCGGGAAAGGCACCGTCGCCCTCCCTTTGGGCGCTCTCCCACGTCTCCTGCCTTGAGCGCTAGGAGCCGGATGGGACTGGCGGGCGAGGGCGCTGGTCCTGAGCGGGGAGCAGAAGGTGCTGAAGCGGCACCAGCAATTTTGTTTCCTCCTGCAGCATCACCCAAGGCTCAGGGCACCTACCAGTACCCGAGCGCCTGGGCCTGGCCCCACTGCTGCCACCCGCGCAGATGGCCCAAGGAGAGAGCTGAGTGCRTGTGCCAGCTTTGGGGTCTGGTGCCATCCTGTGGGCACTGGCCCCCTCTCAGGTAGGCTGAAAGGAGGTGGCACTGCTGGACCCAGGGTGGCTACTGGTTTTCTCACTCCCGCCCTTTCCTTGGGGGGTCTCCGAGGGGCGCAGGAGCCTCCAGGCTGGGTGGCGGTGGGTGACGGGGCTGGTGACGGGTGCTGTCCCTCTCTCCATGCTCCCACGTGAGCTCACGCTGGTACCGGAGCCTTTTGCGCTCTTCCTTCCTATTTCTGCCCATCGATGGATGCACCAGGACTCTCCCAGTGCCAGGCACGTGCCAATGGATGGAAAAGGGATAAGAKGCCCCAACTCCGCTGCACTGCACTGGAGTGGCTCGCGGGGGATGCAACACCTCCCTGTCCCTAAAGCCTCCTTGCGCAGGGATGTTCTGCAGCTCGGGAGGGCTGCGGGTGCCCCGCGGGCTGCAGGGGGGTCCRCGCCGCCCCGCGGCACCGGCACTCACCATGTACTCCATGTTGGCGGCCGGCGGGGACACCTGCGCCCGCACCTGGTTGTGGTAGTCCAGGAGGGCGCTCACGTCCCCGGGGGCGATGTGGCGGCGGCGGCGGGCGCGGGGCAGCCCCGCGGGCGGC